ATCGAATTCGAAAGGTACCTAAATCAGGTCGATTAGCATTAAAGAAATATGGAGTCTTGCCAGACAAATTAAATGTTTATCTAATTTCGAAGGCAGGAGAGAAAGATATCGAGTTATAAATTATTCGAAGTTAGTCTCAAAAATATTGTTACCTTGTGATCAATTGACGGGGGGACGAAAGTCGAAGTTGAGGAATGACGTATAAGATCGACCAACAGTAGGAAGCACGATCGAGCTCAAGCATCTCGCAAATATTCGAGCCGCTAATGCAACCGCAATAATCCGGAAATTTAACGAACAAAATGTGGAATTTGGGGAGTATGACTCGCCGTCTTCAACTCCACCTTGGCAACTATGTTGTTTCGTGTGCACTATACTCCCCTCTTCCTGTTCTCTCTCTCTCTCTCTCTCCCTCCCTCCCCCCTCATTCTCTCTCTCTCTCTCTCTCTCGCTTTGGCACTCGGCACGCGGCGCGCGCGACTGGCCCGTGCAATCGATCCAAGACGCAAGCGAGAATTCCCTGCAGCCAATGACGGTATAATCCCTTCCCTGTGTCGTTCTCTCTCTCTCTCTCTCTCTCTCTCTCTCTCTCTTTCTCTCTCATTGCTTCCCTCTCGACGGCTCGTGCTTTTCTGCGTTTGGCAGCAGCAGCATGATCGCATGTTGTGTTGTGTGTGTGTGTGTATATGCCTTTTAGCCGAGCGTGCGACGAGCTAAGTAATCATATCCCCCAAGCCGACAGGCGTAATGCCTCCACTACGCGCCCGCGAGGCGACGAGTTGACGTGTCTTATACGAGAGCGTGTAATGCATACGTTATTTGTTCGTTAGACGAGGCCTTGATTGCCATCGTTTATACCTCCGCGAGTTAGCTCTCTACTGTCTTCGAATACCTATTCCTCTCTTTCACCTATACCTATATGCTCGTCATACGTACGGCAGATAAACTAAGCAGCAATTTTTTAGATTTGCAATATATTTTGAAAACATGATTTTACCAGTTGCATTGATTATCAATTCATGAAAAATTCAAGTCAAAGTAAAAAGACGAGGATGCACTCAAAATATTTTACTGGATACTTCACTCTTAAACCTTTGAATGTCAGATTTTAGTGTGGTATAAACTTCTATCGTGGCTTGAAAATTTTAGAGGAAACTTAAAAAAAAATTTTTGTTCGCGTGCTTTCATGTAAGGATAAAAAAGCTCTTTTTGAACAAGCGAAATAAAAAATAATGCAACAATAAAAATTTCAGGATAATAAAGGTTATATGTGTTAAAAAATAAGAGATGTAAATAACATACATAATATTAATAACTAATTTTGATTACAAAACTATCCAAGACATAAATACTCAGCGACTGGCTACATTTTGCTTGTGTGCATTGCAATTCTAATCACTACCGCTGCACACGCTTTCATTCGTTCAAGGGCACTTCCTTCTTCATGCGCTTTCCCGAAAGTCTAGGATTCTGGTGATGTCACTCATTTCTAGTCGTGTATATGCTCACGTATACACATTTACTCTACTCCAGTAGTTTAGTTAATCTAGACACTGAAAAAAATGGTCTTATTATAACAGGCGAACAGTAATTTTAAACAAACTCTCTTGCAACAAAAAAAACAATTCTCATGCTATAATAAATTCTCAATTAAGATCAATTAAATTGAATTATCAAATGAATTCATATTAAGAGGATATAATCATTATTAAGATGGATTAAAACATTTGGAAAATAAAACTACAAAGTCATTGTAGATTGTGGTTACAAATAGATGTCCGCGAAAAATGATTGTATTATATAAATTGAGTCACATTATCGCGGCAGAAATGCGTTTGTCTAACATAAATTCCGTTCCCAGATAAAAAAGGTAAAAACAGCAGAGACCTTTGAATATTTGTAAAGACTGTTTATCTCATGAACGCTAGGTGCACACGAACCTGGAAAATCCTTGAGAGTAAGCGACAAAAAAAAATAAGACGACGCGCTGTCGTCGACGTAAAGCATAAAAGGCGAAGGAGCGAGCGAGCGAGAGAAAGAGACAGAACATGCGCCAGAGGCAAGCACCCAGCCCAGCTTGGATTTGCATAGGACAATATCTCGACTGATTTATCTATCGCAGAGGCAAGGAGCTACACCACGAGGATTTATACGTTCGGTGCTTTACGCACGTGCCGCCGTGGAAAATAAGACGAAGACTCAACCTGAAATACACTCTTGGCATTTGTCCCCCTCACCCCTCCACGTACATGAAAGCACCTCACTACTACCAAGCTTCTCTTAGCCGTCAGTTGGTTTTGTTTTCATTTTCTCATTTTACCTTTTTAATCCTTTTTTCCATGCTCTCTCTCTCTCTCTCTCCTTCATATACTTGCCTTTTTCTCGTAGGTGCATCAAAAAGTAGGCTAACTCCGTGGATTTTTTCTCTTTTACTTCTTTTGGGTTTTCTTTACTATGTCCTTTTTTCTCGTGGAGAAAGGATATTCTTCGAGAATCGCAACCATATATTTTTTTTCATTTTTCAGTCTCACGTTCTACTTTTATCGTATATTTTTTCAAACGGTCTTTCTCATTATTAAACGTCATGGGATTTTTAGTTTGATATTTGTTATCTACATTTTAATTGGATTAATAGGTACATTTTTTAAACGCTCTAGTCACAAGTATATATAAAAATAAAAAAAGGGAATTCTTACGACTATAATACAAGTGTGTAGATGTGAATTATATTAGAATACATTTATAAAATTAAAAATACTATTACCATGAAAATGTGTAATTATTAAAGTAAATGTAAGATAAGTAAACGTTTCATCTTAGTTCATCGGCAAAGTATATACGTTTCAATAGAAAGTAATATTAACTAAAATAACTGAGAACAACCGTAATAAACGCGTCTATATCTTTTGTATGTTGGTTTATTACAGTATAATTAGATTTGAGTGAAAAAGAATTTGTTTACGTTAATTGCTATTGATTCGAGAAACTGTTTGAATTCTAACAATATCGTTCGGCAAGATTCGAAATCCACGAATTCGCTTACAATGCAAAAGTTTCAGAAAAGTGCAGTAACATAATTGTCGATCAACACGAATGCGCTCGTTTGCGAAGTGGTAATCTTATTGGGAAATATGTGTTACTGCTTAATATAGTACAATCAAAATGAAAAAACTTACTCGATTTTTTTTTCTCTCAAGCTAGTGCTACTAGTAATTCCTAACTATTTGCTTTTCGGATTTTCTTTGCCACTTGCCTCTCTCTCTCTTTCTCTCTCTATACTTGTGGTGCAATGGCAACAGTGGGGCGGCGGTGGCATCGCTTGGCGGAAAAGAGGGCGATAAACGAGGCTACCTCGCGCCCTCCCCTTTCCCCTCCTCTCGCTCACTCCCCGTTTATGACTTTTACCGTTTAGTTTATCGGTATTCGCCAGATTTACGGCGCACATAAAGTCGGACTCTATTTGCGCGGCGGTGGTCGGGGCGCGTAGCTGAAGCGGACTGCCATGGAAGTAAGAGCTAGCTCTTTCGCGAATGCCGCGCTGCACGTACGTATACGCGTGTACGAGTTGTACGCACGCGAGCACAAAAATGAGCAGAGACACGACCATTTTCGTGCTCGTGCTCGCGGACGCTCGAGCTTTCAGGAGCAAGGAAGTTCCTTCCAATCATGCAGACAACACAGGGCTCCACCCGTGAGCGTCCAATAACAATAGATGGCGCATATATGATTTCGCAGGATACACTTAATATTTAGTCGTTAGTAGCCTGATCTAATAACAAAATTGTTTGAATACTTTTTCATTTTAAGAAAATTTAAACAGGATAAAACCATTTTTGTACGATTTCGATTGATTTTAATTTAAAACAACGTGTAATAAACGAAATGAAGACGTCATAATATAGACTTGTGTAAAATATTATTGGCATATTAAATTATTAGAATATTGGTAAATGAATCGGATGTACAATCACGCTATATTTGTTAAATTTACTATTATATTTCTCCACTTCACACATGTCCTACGCTTTTAATGTAGATATTTATGAATGAACTGGAGTTCATATAAATTATACAAGAAAATATTTCATCTGTTTAAGTTTTTTAAACAAAAGCCTATTTAAAAACAATTTTTCTGTTTATATCTCATTCTGATCTTTTTAGTGATATTATTTAGTGATGAATATTGCCATTTTTGCCATTATTTGTTAGATAACTATGTTATAATATTAGAAGAAGTTTCAAATATGAGATCATAGTATTATTTCAAGTACATTTATTTCATCACTGTGAATTTACAGCTATACAACAAATAAATAAACAAAAAGAAAACAGAAATTTGTTTTCTTAAAATGCTTTCAATGAATAAAAGACAAAAATATATAACAATTTTGTAAATTCGCAGTCGAATGGCGATGAAAATACACGTTTCAACGACTTTATGTACTCAAGTAATTTTACTATAAACGACTTTTTTAACAAAAATCAAGAATGTGATGTAATGTCATGCATGAAAAACAATAATAATTTTCGATTTGCAAAATGTTATTGATGTTAGGAAATGTAGAATAAAATGGTTCCATTAGAGTTTATCCGAGAAGAACGACATTGTAAGATCTGACTTTCATTAGACCAAGTAGTGATAAAAAAATTAACTTTTTATACTATATAGTATAGGTAATCTATAAAAATTTATCTCAGTCTAACCTCAAAGTCGCACCTTCGCGAATTGTTTTCGGTTGCCGAACTGAAAAATATTGTCCTTATCGCATGCGTAAAGGCATTATGGATTTTTCGCCTTCGGCTTGCCTTTGCTTTGATCTGATAATCGCCCATTTCATAAATAAGGCTTTTCTATACCTTGTATAAGAAATATATTACTCCCTTATTTCTAGAAAGCTTGGAAATTTCGAGCGCCATTGTTGTTCGTATTTATTAGGTCTCTTCCATGCATAATGGATCCTTAAAATTCAAATGGAAAAGGATCAAAAGTATTTACTTACCGTTGAGTACGTGGACGAGTACGCTCGCAGAGTCGGCGGTCGATGGTGCGCATGTATAATTGCCGGAATCCGCAGGTAGTGCACGCGAGATCAGCAGATGCGACGTCCGTGTCTGTTTTTCCGTCACTACGCTAATGCCGCCTCGTTGACTGTAGTTTATCACATGATCGCCTCTATACCTGCAATATCAGGGCAATCATACTTGTTAATAATTATTTTATATCAGTTGGTATTGCAAAAAAAGTGAGAATATGCTTAAATGAAGCAGGTCAGCAGGTCAGCAACAACATTTTGTATCACATCAAAATTTATTGTTGCTATTGTTGTTCGTGAGATCAAAGATAATTTAAGATATGCGTATCTGGCATGGTCGAAGAAATTATCAAGAATATAACTGCAAAATGCATTTTCAATTTATCTTTGTCATTGATTCGGTCCCGGATGGCAAACGCGTCACGAGCGAGAGTGAAGGACGTTTTCGCCCATATCTGATATGTATACAGCCATGACAACGAGGCAGTGTTGACAAATATAAAAAGACCGTACGTTTGTTGGGGAAATATGCAGAATGGGCGTCGATGGATCTCCGCGATAAGGCGCGGCTGGTCAGGTACCAATCCTCATCAACGTCGTAAAAGTGATGCGCCATTGACCAACCAAGGTTCAATCAAGAACATTTCCATTTCCCTTTAATTTAGGATATTGGCGCAAGCGTTGAGAAACCTGCGGAGCACGTTCCTACAATTAGGAACCAGATGTCTGAAAATCCCCGGGAGCCGAAGTAAGCGTCAAACAAAATGTTAGAGAAAAAGCTTTGGAAGGAGATGCTGGAGCGAGCAAAAAATAATGTCACGGGAAACCTATTTTTAAAGGTCATCCTTTACCATCGCGTGCGTTAGTTTTAGTACATTTGTAACTTGCGAGGGCGTATAATTGTAAACCGCGTGCGTAAAATCACGGCAACACCGAGCGAAGCGACCAACTCGAGGGGGCAACTCGAGGTCAGGCGATGTGTTGAGAGGAGTTCGGTTTTGACCATTCGAGAAGGAAATGACACGTTGGTTATGCGTTCGATACGACGTACACAAATGCTGCATCGCGGAATCGAAGCCGAACGTCGCCTCGAGGATCGTTTTCGAGGCTACCATGACCCTGCCCCCGTCAAAGCAAGTCCAGAGAGCCAAGGTCATGCGGCTTTGGATTTGTGTCCAAGGGTCTCACTGAGGCTGCCCGGTAGCGTGCCAGCTAAAGCGGAAGGGAGACAAAAGGGGCGCCAAACTGTACAGCATTCGAGGCGAGCTTTGGGCCGCGGTATCAGGTGGGAAGGAAAGAGCAGGGCCTAGAGGGGACAGAAATTTCGTCGAAGGAAAGTAGTAAGTGTGCAACACTCTAACTTGCGATTTCGTCTAGATAACAGGTCCCGTTTTCTATTTGTATTAAATCTTTCTTGGAGTTAATTTTTGTATTAAGTTTTTTTCTGAAGTTAATTAAAATTTGTACGCGTAACTGAACCTGCCTTTGTTATTTTGTTCCTCGGCCCCCGATAGATTCAAAGAAAAATTGAGATTTTATTGGAAATATTGCAAAGCACAAAAATATACAGTATAGAGAGCGTATCGTTATTGAATTTTCCTTGAATGAAATATTGCATTCACTTATTTAATGTTTTTGCGTTGTTTGAAAATTGTGCAAACACAAAATGTTAGAGTAAGATTGAAGTGCAAGAGATACCGAAGAAGTTATAATAAAACTCTCCAGACTGTAAAGTACTCTACAAAAGTTGGAGTTATTTTTCATTCAACTTCGATTTTCCTCGTTCGCTCGCATGCGCTTCGAGAATTGTTGACATTGTCTCGCTAAACACCGACGCGCTCAAGTCACTCAGCTATGTACATCGCTCAAAGCGTTCGGCTAAAGTACTACGGCGCGTAATTTAAGAAAAGTTCGTTAACAGAATCAGCAGTGTAAGGCAGAGAGAAGGAGAGCCGGTGAGGAATAATTTCCAGAGGAGAAACTTCCAATCGGTTTTGCTAGTACTACAGCCCTGAAACTTCTGGCAGTACGAATGATATTTGTAGCGTTTTCATCGATCCAAGTAAACAAAATGGTAAAAAGGGATAAAAGTAATGTAATTAAACTCACCAGTAGATGAAAGACGGAGGCTCGGGTGTTTGCATTACTACGCAGGTCAGGTTGATGTCGCTGCCACTTTTTATGTACAACTCCGAATTGCTCATGATTTTAGCTTTCGACACTGTAACATTAGATGTTCTCGTTAGAGAAAGAGAATTATCCTGCAGCAAAGGCCGTCGCGAGCTTGCTTTTGTCATTATCATGTAGAATGTACTTCTAACACGCGCAAAGCTTTTATTTTATAAATAATATTTCATCAGTTGTTAGTCTCAACCAAGTTAGCAAACCTACAATGTTAAGTTTGCGAAGCACTGATAAGTAAACGCGTACGGAGAAAATAAACTAAAGCTTGAGTTTCAAGCAAATGAAATAAGCGAATTCAGATAGGCGCTATGAAGTCTTTCGAAATAATTGAAACACTTCAGAAAACTAATTAATAGCAATTATGATATATGCCAGTGGCAGACTAGTCAAAGGATACTATCTATTTTTCTCTGGCAACATAGACGCTAGCAATAGAATCTCGCGAAATAATACAGGTAGAATAATACAAATTTGAGCAGCACGTAATTATTTAGTAATTATAGTAAGTTTGCTATATTTGGAAATATATTTCGACGGTCGTTATAACGCTACACGAAAAGAGAAAAAGATAAAGACGAAACATGCGTACGAACCGACGACATTGAGCTTGTAAGCAAGACTAATTTTGGGCTCAGTCGAGACTTGACATTCGTAGATGCCGCTGTCGCGTATCTGAGGTGAGCTGATCTTGAGGGTCCATTCGTCGGTGCCGTCGCTGTGTAGCGACTGAAATCGCTGATCGTTGGTGTAGGTGAGTATACCGACAGTCAGGATATGCAGGTCTCGTTGTCTTATCCACGACACCTGCAGACAGCCCAAAAAAAGCATTGCTCAGTTCAAGTTTCGACGTTCCATTGGGGATTTATCGACAAGCCTATCCTTTTGTTCAACAACGACTCGTCTCGAGCTGCTTATTGGCAAGGCTTTTGACGTGAAACACACGCTCGTATATACAGAGAAGCTCGAGTTCAGTGTAGTTTCATATTTTGATAACTATTATTTACTCCAGAGATTCGATAGGTTTCTTTATCAACAAATAACAATGTATCTCAAAGTCATCTCAAAACAAAGTCTCTTTGTTGCTATTGATCTGAATTATTTAGTATGTACCGACATAAACTAAAGTTTCGATCGCACCGTTCACGTGGCCTTTCCGTTTCTTTGAATTGCATTCGCTCGATAATTAGTGGAGAAATTTAAAAATAATTTATAGATAGTATTGTTATAGTATACGTAAAAAGTCATGAAATTGTAATTCATAGTAATGATATAAATTATGTTCTAACAACGCAAAACAGTTTTTCAAAAAGACAAAGGCATATTTTCATAGATATTCAATTTTTAACGTATTTTAAAGAGGATTGATGGAAAAAAAAGAAGAAACGATGGGAGGGAGAAGATAGGACGCGAGAGAGAGAGAAAGAGAGAGAGAGAAAGAGAGAGAGAGAGAAAGAGAGAGAGAGAGAGAGAGAGAGAGAGAGAGAGAGAGAGAGAGAGAGAGAGAGAGGAATACGGTGAGGAAAGGGAGAGGAGAGGCAAAGATCAATTTGCGAAACTGGTCAACACACAGTCGCGTTTTTATCGCGCTGTGGTGCGCGAAAATTCGATGCGCATGTTCGGCCACTACTTTTACGAGCGGCCGAACAAACGCGACGGACCAATCCAATAAAGCCCCAATCGCAGCTTCCACCAGCATTGATTTTACGCGGGTGCGCACTGGACACGTATATATGGTAGAGAATTCGGGCGTGTGCCGGCTGCAGTCGTCGTTGATCCTGACATACATACTAGCGAGAACACACACACACACACCACAGATTTAGAGTCGTTAAACTCGTCACTCTTTGCTCTTATCCGTCTGTTTATCCATCCTTTTTTCACAAGCTTTGATCTTTCATCGTCGATACTCATTGCGCATTTATCTAAGTCGTTTTCAAGCGGATTCAGTTCAATCTACTTCATCTGCAATTTGCTAACGATTTCGCATCGTAGCAAAAGTCACAGCTCCATTAAATCCAATTCTCAAGACTATAGATATCACTTCACTAACAAATTTTAAAATAGCACAGATTTTCAACGCTATAATCTTTCTGAACTATTTTCACTAAAAGACAGCCGTGTATTTTTATTTATTTAACAAAAATTGCGTGTAACTATGGAATCATCGAATAAAAAGTTTATAAAAAGTTTCTCCAAAGTTACAAGTCATTGATGATCCACAAGTTATAGTGTCTTCTAATGATACAGTGATAGAAATGTTGAATAACAAGATTAATCTTACAACGCCTCATATAGAAAGTATACTCAAACTATTTTTGGTAAAAAACTTCTCAAGTTTTGTAAGGTAATTAATCATATTGTCATGTCACGTATTAAGCAACAGCACAAAATAACATATTCGTCCGTTGTCCGCGAAATATTTTAATCACTTGAAAATTCTAAAATCAGATGATCCACAAAGACTTTGAATATATTTAGCACGAGATCTGAAATAGATGTCTGAAAAAAAGATTTATCCTGTACGCCGTCGCGCTACATTTTTACTTGAGTACTTGTATTATCTGCGGGCATGTGGCAACGTGTGTATGCATATAGAGCGTAGCACACGCGCCGCATCTCATAGATGGGTTGCAGGCGTGCAAGTTTGATTTATCGCCGATTACGCTTCACAATTGGGATACGCATGGGCCGTATAACGGCGTCGGCAGCGGTATAGTAGTAGCTTCGCCCTCGCTACCACTGCTGCCGTCGCGCCGTCGATGAGCGATAAGGCCTCGAGATAACGAGTGCAGCGTTTCATATCCAATACTGTGACCTCTGCCAAGCCACCAAATCGTTCGGCAACAACTACACACACGCGCGCGCGCGCGCACACACACACACACACACACACAGAGAGTACCAATTACGTGGTACATTTTTTAGTGTGTCGTTATTGTTTCGCCTATATCACTGTGCATTAGCTACATGTTTATATCTTTATCCTAGCTAGCTTGGCAAATTTAATTTACGAGGCTGCAAGTAACTTCATTTCTTCGTTGGAAAAATTATGAGCTTGCTATTTGTTGCCTACAGTCGGACTGGAGGCAACGAAAATTACTACGTTAATAAACATATTGAAGAGGGTAATTATTATTTAATGAACATTGCTTACTTGACTTGAGTGTATCAGTTATATTTATCATATTTGTAAATCATTTATACAAAGAGTTTGTGTTAAACATTTTAAGAATAACATGCGAAGATTCGAATTCAATTGTTTAAATTTCATTTAGTAGATTTAATAGCGGAACCTTAGAAAATGAAATTGATATACGATAAAATGAAACTGTTGGAATATTAGAGTTATATATGAAACTAGACATTATTGGAAAGTTAAAGTTATGGGATGTTGGACTTAGATACATAATTGATTGAAGTTGCTGAACTGGAGAAGAAGCGAAGAAAGGAAGGAAGACTTGAGGTTGCGACAGCTTTATCGGTGAAAATAGCAACAGGACTAGCGCTTATGGTCTTAAAGTCATATCGATACAGCCCTTTCGTACCAGAAAATTTCAATTTAAAACTTTTAACTCTCGTCGTACGGTGGTTGTCTCGGCCGGCGCGTGCAACGATGTCGCTTCTGTCTCATCCTATTACAGCGTTTTTGTTTTACACGACTATGGCTTTAATTTTCATCCATGAAATTATTCGCATTTCAAAATTTCCACTTTTACTTTTCACGGATATTTGGCATACTTCAATAAAGCTCTGATTTTTTCCGTGCTAGTGTCTTGATAGATTTCAGTGCATACCGATAGTTAATATTTCAGCAGGTGACTATAAATGTCGATAATTAATATTTTAGTAGGTGATTAAAAATGATCGTTCGATAAATATTTTACATTTTTGCGTAGCTAATAAAGGATTTTTTATTTGGCTTTTGCGCTGTTTTACTTAGGTTTAATATTCTGTCTCAATCACCGAGTTTTATTAATTATTTTATTACTGTAATGTTTCAGAATATTTTGTAGATAAAAAGAAATTTCGAAAAATATTAAGGTTTAGGCTAGGTTTAAATCCACAAGTGTAGCAACTTGAATTTGAAAATAAATCACGAGATTTCCATTTTTTATTCATAGTATTTTTTTAAGATCCAAACTGTTATGAGCATAAAAGTATATTTTTAATGCGATATCGAATCGCACTTTATTTATGTAAACAATAAAGCTTAATATTTTAATCTTTCGCTTTATTGTTTACCGAAATAAAATGCGATTCGATATCGCGTTGAAAGTACACGTTTTAAGCTCATAACAGTTTGGATCTTCAAAAATGCTATGAATAAAAATTAGGAATCTTGTGATTTATTTTTAAATAAAAATTGCTACACTTGTGGCTTTGAATCTATTTTAAACTCTCGAAAATATTATTCCGCAATTTTTTTTTCCATAATTGATTACATTTTGTAGTATATAGAAAAAAGTCCAATATGGAAATGGAAATGAGAAAACGATCACAGTAGTGGTTAATTAGATACGATGTATGATAAGATATACCAACCGCTCGATCACCGAGATTGCGAACTCTACAGTGCAGGTAGGCTGACTGTCCAACAGTCGTGGTGGTTTCTCGTCTTGTCGCGTTGTCGAAGTAGGGTTGGCTGAATGGCTGGTCCCAGAAGGACGACGGGTGATGCTCGACCACTGAGTTGCTATTGCTGGCTTCTCGACCTTCCGTCTTGGCTGCGCACTCTGTAACAGTTGCAAAGAACCATTAAGTTTATCAGTTCTTATATTTTTTTGGCTTCTATCTTGCTCATTCTTTTTTATGATTTTCAGGCTAAAGGTTTAGAATTGAAAGGAGTTGTTGATTTCACTTCAATGGTTTTCTTCGGAGCAAGAAAATCAAATTCACAAATAATTGATATTTTTTTTATCAATGTATTCTGAGTTTGAATTGCTACTGAATCTCGATACATATTTTTAAATAATTCATAATACATAGTGCTGTTAAGCATGCAAGGTCAGTTTTCAAATGAGAAACGTATTTACTTTGTTTGAAATTATTGTAACGAAAATGCTAGGACATATTAACCATTGTATAGGAACTAATTACTGGCGAAGATTTCGGAAGACAACATTTTTAATGTCTTTCACAAGTTAAATAAAAATCACCATGTAGTAACACTTTATTTCCTTTGTCTATCAATTTTTGCATTCTTGTTTTAAAAACTAATAGTAATTTTGTAAAGTCTTCATCTGGATTCGAGATGAAAAGCTTCTAGTTGTCAAGGAAAGATCGATACGCAAGATAAAAAGGGAATCCAGTATTTTTTTCTTTTTTGACAATGATAAATGCTTTTCAACTAAATCGATAATAGATAGACGACACCCTTTCTTTTCCTCTCATTATGAAAATGTATATTATCAATGTTTGTTGAATAATGTACCACGTAGAGAAGTGATGTCAAACGATTTTATAGATTGAATATAAAATGAGTAGTACTAATCAAGACTCGACCAGTGTATCTGATTAAATAGATAGTAAACAGAGCATGGTGTTTGAAAAGAGTCCTGTAGAGCAAACTGTCGTAATTTTAGGTATACATAGTATGTCATCTAGAATAAAAGACGGATTACAGGGGTTCTCGAAAGTATACATATATCATACATAGTTGTGTACAAGAATGTCGGCAAATTTTGGTTGGGTAACGCATCTCTTTGTACGAATGTAAATGCACGTGGGAAGAGAACAACGCAGTTCATCCTATGAGCTAGAAGTGAGTTTGGCGCGTTGAATTCCTCATTTGAACGAGTTTTCCTGTGTGCTGACTTAACTGATTTTGAATTGTCTTTTTTCTGAATAAACTTCGGATGTCAGTTGTTTATGCGACCACCCTTGTAATTTGAAATAAAAATCTTTTACGTGAATTAGTAAGGTATCGCATTAAAGCTTATATCTTTGGATGTCAATGCTTGGAATAAAATGGCAATCAATTTGTAAGTTCAGATAGAGTAACAAAAGTAAAAATAAAATACAAAGCACCTATGATAGCTGAAATGATTGTGGGTAATTTTTATTTAAAAATATATTGCTAAGATAACGCTTGCATTTAAGGCAAATAATCAAATTTATTTTAGTGCTTAGATAGATATTGCAATCTATCATGTTGCTTTTTTTATCTTTGCCACTGGTTATTAATCCTCTCGGACCTTGCATTCCGATAAAAATCCCGTTATGTAAAGCAGTTATTTACCGGTGTGTGATGTATTTTGTAATAATTCGTTTTGGAGTAGCAGCAGATCGAGTGTTGGTTCGCTCTTCCTCCCTCCCTCTTTTTCTCCCTCCTCCCCTCCCTCCCTTCCTCTCTCTCTTTCTGTACGCTGACAAAGAACAGATCCATCACCTGCTCGACGTTGTTTTCCCCGAGTCTCAGGCAGTTTCTCTCACCCTTTCTTCCGCCTTCCAATCCAAGCTCATGGTCGGTACGAGGTCGCATAATAAACAGATCGATTTTTCATTTATAATAAATATATATTTATAGTACTTTGAGAGTTAGTCTGGCGAAAATATTGTCGTCGTAGCGGAGCGTATTAAATGTTAATTGCACATTGATCTTTACGCCTCACTTGCTGGCATCGATAGCTTTGGCACGTGAATGCGTGCGCGAGCGCGACATTAGGCAAATGAGACGAGGTCGAGTTAAGCGTGTGAATTTCGTGCGTTTTGCACGTAAGCTTGGTGATCCGGTTGCTCTCTCCATCTCTCTTACGAACGTGTACGCGCTCTCGACGATTAGGTAAATTGACGGGTGATGTGCTTACAACGATCGATGAACTGTTTACTCGATACGATCCAAAAACCTATTGAGAGAGCTGCGATCAACTGTGAGTGTTTTTAGGTTATTCGAAAGTCATCCGTTTACGAGATCGCTTGCATCCACAGCCTATAAGCCTGTTGTAATTTCAAGATTAGCCTGAACGAGCGTTGCCAAACCGTTTCGCTGATTGTTTCCAACGACATCGTAATATTGCATGCGTTTTATTGATTCAGCCGTTTACGCCTATAAGCGATGTTCACATAACGTGACCAATACTTTTTCACAGTTTTTAAATGACTGTTGTAAGTAATATTGATCTAGCTAGCTATGATAACTATGATAAATTTACTCACGGCTGCGGTACTGGAAAGCTATTATGTACGAGATATGACGTTCGGACAACTTAATTGGTAATGTCTTGCAACTTACGGCCCGTTGATTATTCAACAATTAAAATTTTCCAGCGGAGTGAATAAATCTTTAGGTGTAAATTTATAGCTTCAACTTGAAATTAATTTCTTGAACTGGTTCATCGCAAAGAAAGTTATAGTAACTACTTTTTCTAATAATAAAGTTCAAGTCCTCACCAATAATAAGATTTGTAATTAGACCTTATATCAAAGGAAAATCGTTTATAATATTACTTGGGACTAACCGACTACTGATTAAGTAGAATATCCCTTGTTCAATCAGACATAGCATGGAAAACAACCGTATTCGGTGAGTGGTTCACTCGTTAATTTTTATTCCAAAGAGCACCAAGTATTCGATAAATCTTTATATTGCTGGCGTAGTAATCGTAACGCAATTCTCAATCGTAGTAATCAACGACCTAGACAGAAAGTGTTAGAAATGGTTGAGCGTTAGAGTGGCATGCACGACATTGCGAGCGATGACTTGAAGAATAAGTCGTTAATGGAAGGATCGAGGGAAGGGAATACACGAGAGATAGCCTCTCGCGTTGATTGGAACCGAGTTCGTTAAACTCACACCCACTCCATTTTCTCCGCGCGCGCGTTCTCGCTGACTCGTTTCCTAACGACCTCGTGCAACCAGATTTTTCTCGTAATATCGATCATTCTTTCACGTGTTATTTGAATACTAATTTTTTTCTTATCTTAGTCTTTGCCAATTATAATTTATTATGTAAAACTATCTTTTATTTATAAAAGTAACTCTTATCTATGAATTTTTCAAGAATAGTTTTGCAACTGAATCATTAGTTATTATTTGCGTTCTTAATTGTTTTTATTTTTACGTCACTAATGTATCTTCAACCACGACCATATTTAGCGTTATTTGTTAATTTTCATTACTTGCAGTGACATCCTGGAATGTGAATTCAGTAGTGAAGTGTCTAATTAGATACCGATTATATTCAGCTTCAACCATTTTTCTTGTACAATGAAAAAGGTTTAAGGTACAAAAGCAGCTGAGTTTATTAGTCGAGTTATTGTTAAAAATAACTCCTTCATTTAATCTTCACCATAGGAATCTACGAAGAAAAGGCATTGTTTTTCAAATTGTCAAAGACCATTGTCTCACAAAATAATTTTCCATCAATTTACATTAAAGTTAGTTGAAAATTCATTCTGTCATATCTGTTATTTTATTTTATCTTAGTCTACTCAGTTTTCCCGTCATGAACACATCTAAATTCATCGTGTTAATGTACAAAGTGATCCATTATATATCAAGCAAGTACAAAGTTATACAGTGTTACTATCAGCAGAGTAATACTCAACCAAACTTTGAAGATTTTGTTTTCTTAGCGTCCATTTAGAATTTCAGTTATTATAGCTTTTGAATATAGATAAATAAGAAGATTTATGTATGCCTTCGATTAAAGCTCATAAAGTAAAATTTATATAAATATTTAAAGAAAAGCTCTTTGCAAACGTCATGGTATTTTTTACAATGACATGACGTGTTTCGTTTTCATGGAGATCCAGTTCTTGTATTAAGGCTTCTCTCTCTCGTTCACGTCCTCTGTCTCCACAAGGCGGAAGGGCCCGAGGACTAGTGGTACAGTGTCTCTTTATGCAAATACCGCAGCGTGTGTCTTTAGCTGGTTTTCTTTGCTTCTTTACAGCTGCGGCTCTGGCTGTTCGTTAGCGGTGTACGACGACACGCGGCCTCGGTCACCAATGCCATTTCAAAAGGCACTAGGTCGCACGCCCGCCAAAGGCAGAATGAAAGACGCCTGGTTCTTCGCCAGCTCGTATTTCCTCGTGTAGACTCTAAGCTTTCTTCCATTCTTTCGGTCTCCTTTAATTAATTTTTTCTCTTTCGCTTGCTGCTGCTTTTGTCCTACTTGCTCTTTGGGTAAGTGTCGTGAGATTTACGCATAATGATCTCGACTTATTCAACCAACTATACATATACATTTTTAGAAAGGTATTTATTGCCACTTTCTTCCTTTCCAAGGAATCCTTTACCTCTCTCTCTGTCCCTCTCTCTCTCTCTCTCTTTCTTTCTCTCTCTCTCTCTTTAACTACACGATGTTCGTTTGGATGATATTGTATACACAGACGGAACTTCGCTACGCAAAAATTCCAACGGCTCATTGTGATTGAAAGCAGAAACATACGAGTTAAAGAACAAAGATTTGTTGGATTTCATCCTACTTGCTTTTGACAAATGACGGTTTTGATAAATAACTTTCTCGATTAAAACTTTAGTAGCGCTTAACAATTTTCAACTGAAAGTTATAAAGTTATAGAGAGAGCAAAAAAATATACAACTATGCCGTCGCATTCAAAGATAGATACAAATTTAATTAGAGTAAAAGTTTGAAGACTGAATTTCATCAGAGACCAAAGGCGAGCACAGACAAGTTTTTACGATGCAGCATCACGCCGAGCGAATATTTCTCTTCCAGGAGAGCTAAGGTGCTTACCGCATAAACGGTTATTGTGTGCATTTTGTGAA